GGCAGCAGAAAGCACAATGGAACTAGTTTCCATTCAGGTCAAGTAAAAGAAGACGTTTGAAGTCTCCTCCTATAGACTAGGCAATGGAAGGCTTTCAACCAGAGCTGACAACGACCTAACCCTGCCTGAGGCCCTGCTCTGCTCACGGCAGCCTCACTCACTCCCTCTCTCCCCACTACAGACTAAAGATGTCAGTGTTTCTATAATTACAGACCAGAGATGCTTCCTCATTCAGTCTTATCAAGTGAACCAAAAAAAGCATTTCGATGAAAATATATAAATACTGTGATTAAATATTATAGAAATGTTTTGCATCAAATACAGATGTCAAGATAAAAATGTCTTTCTAGCTCACTCACTCGTTAGAAAAACACTCCATTTTCCCTAAAAAGAGGAAAAACGAGAAGCATGAGTCTGGGTGCCAACGAAAAATGAATCCACACACACACACCCAATAACTGAAGTAAAAGGATGTCAGTAAAACAGGACCCATCTTTTAGAATCCCAGACTTTCTATTTCAAACTCCGACTCTGTTAATCTCCTTAAGATAAAGTAAGGTTGATTCAAATGGCATTGAAGAGTCATTCTATCATGAAAGGGCTGTGATGGTCTTTTGGATTAAAAACAAGGAACCCAGAAGGGATGACAATCTGTATAGTTATATAGTAAGAGGTGCCCTGGTGGCACCACAGTGGTTAAGAGCTCAGCTGCTAACCAAAAAGTCGGCAGTTTGAATCTACCAGCTGCTCCTTGGAAACCCTATGGGGCAGTTCTACTCTGTTCTAGAGGGTTGCTATGAGTCGGAATCGACTCGATGGCAATGGGTTTGGGTTTGTTTTTTTTTTTTTTTTAAGAAGAAGGGTAAAGAGGGGAGGTAAACTTTTTTCCTCTCCAGAATGACAGTAATGAAGTCAACGACAGCACAGCAGGTTTAGGGGCTATGAGAACGCAAAGGGCATTAAAGGGCATTCCTCACCCAGCCCTACAAACTCCGTTTAAAATAGCTCCTTGACCAGAAGAGCCAAAGTGACTGTCACTGAAATATCACAATTGAAGCATGGGTCTCAGGTCTCAGGTGATCCTATTACACTCTTTGCAGCCAAGTGAGGTTTCTGAATGGCAGCTGTGCACTTCCAGGTGGCGGGTGGGCCCCAGGAAGGATGCACGGGACGCTCCCTAGCAGACACCCAGGGTACGCACTGTAAAAGCGCATGAATGAGGCAAAGGGAAACTGGGGCAGCAGAATAATACATTTGCTAGCATTTACGCAATGCTGAAGACCTCAAATGAACAACATCTCATCGATTTTTCCTTATTGTTCACACCTAGGACAAATGTGACTCAGTGGTCTGAGATTTAAAACAAATTAAATGCCGCACTTAAAATGGCAACCAAGTGGACTAAATAATAATTTTTAAAAAAATCTTTTCTTTCAGAGAATACTATCTCAACTACTACCCCAAAATTCAATTTTTGCAATTGAAAATTTGTAATGAGGATGCATGGAACATCTATAGTAAGGAACTCCAATTGTAAATTCCTGGCCCAGGCCCGAAACTCCCACCCCTCATAACAAAGAAGTAGAAAGGAAAACATCTAGATTTTAGTACTACTGTCTTCTGAACGTTTCAACTTTCCCAATTACTTTCCGCAGAGATAAATATTCCCCTTCCTGAAAATTTTCCTAACAAAGTCAGTGCCTACTACCAGCCCTTCAAGAGCTAGAGCTCAGGTGTAGAACTGGTTAGGTTCACGCAAATTCAACACACCTTTCACCTGAAGTCGCAGGGTGGTACAGTTAACTGCACTCGGCTGCTAACTGGCAGTTCGAATTCACCAGCCTCTCCTTGGAAACCCTATGGGCCAGTCCTACTCTGTCCTATAGGGTTGCTATGAGTTGGAATCAACTTGACAGTAACGGGGTTTACGCCATGGCCAGAAGAACAAAACGAAGTCTATACTTTAGTTCAACCTGGTGATGACAATGAAAATCCTAAACTGGTATTTCTCACTGAAGATTTAAATGGAAAAGTTGAATAATATTTTAAAAGACATTTTTAAACTTTAAAAGGGACCTAGCGGTTCCACAAGATGTGACTAAGGGCACGGAATGTTGTTTTCGGGACCAATTTTAAAGGCCTTCTGTGGCAGCAGGTTCGTTCATAACGGTTACAATAGTGAACACTTTAAAGAGAAGCCAAGAACCTACCTTCTCAGCGTCTACAGATTGGAATGGAAACTTCTGGACCTGATGGAGAGTTTTACAAGTTTCTAAATGTCTTATCTTGCTTCAGAATGTGGATACGTATTTTATATTCAGAAAAAAGGGCACTGGTCTTACTTTGAAATTTGACTGATACTAAAGTGATACTGATTTCCTTCACATTTAAAGCAAATTCCTTAAAAATACCCCTCAATGTAAATACCTATCAATGTGAATTTCTCTTCTTCTAAGTGCTATATTCTATGTACTCCAAGGTGGTAACTGTATACTCTTCTATATAACCTAAAGCCTTCTTAGAGAAGAACATTTACTATATAAAAAACAGACCCAGAAAATAATTCAATGCCTACAGGATTTTTCATATAATTAAAAAATTCTTACCTTTGCTAAAGAGGAGGAGCCATGCGGCACAGTGGTTAAGCGCTCAGCTGCTAACCAAAAGGTCAGTGGTTCAAACCCACCAGCTGCTCTGGATCTGCAGCCTTGGAAACGTTACGGGACAGTTCTACTCTGTCCTACAGTGTTGCTCTGAGTCAGAATCGACTCAACAACTTTTTATTTTTGTCACGCTGTTGCTAAAGAAATCTTTCTTGGACTTTAAGGGGAAAAATTAAATCTGGTAACACGATAAACCTCAAGGCCGTCATTTGTATACAGATGTTTTGTTTATGGAGTAACTGCAGTCTAGCAAAACTTAGTCCTCCAATGAAATATGTAAGCTTTTCTAGTATTTTTATTAAAATGGAAAAGCTGTATTCTACTGGTGAGAGAATTTTTCTGCTGAGGGAAGTCTGAACCTAGTGACTAGTTCAGTGGTGTATCTGAGTTTTCTAACTACTAAACGTTATGTGCCTTCAAAAAGTGAGGTAAAGGAGAAGGGCACTTTCAGACAGTGTATTCTCTTTACTCTCAGCTGACTACCTGGGCCCTGGATTTTCTCCCTCTGCCATTTCTCCTCTTTATGAGAGAAGCTTCCAGAGGCTCCTCTCCATGTTCGTTTTCTCTCAGTACTTAATATGCTTCATAGAAGGAGGGTGCAGCTCAGTGTTTGTGATCCTTTGGCTTAAACTCTTAACCAAGGTTTTACCTTTATTTATTCTCTGAGTTAAATTAATCAGCAAGTATCTGAGGTCTGCTATATCAACTCAACAGCAATGGATTTATGTGCCTTGAAGGAGCCCTGGTGGCACAGTGGTTAAGAGCTTGGCTGCTAACCAAAAGGTCGGCAGTTTGAATCCACCAGCCGCTCCTTGGAAACCTTATGGGGCGGTTCTACTCTGTCCTATAGGGTCGCTATGAGTCAGAATCGACTCAATGGCACCCAACAACAGCAACAACAACATGTCCTTACGTAGCCAAAGGTATCTAGAATGATTTTGTTCGTTCAGACTCATGAAGATTTCTTATAAATACTTCCAAGTTTTGACGTCAAAAGCATCTAATTTATAAATACTAAATGGCTTTTCAGTGAAAAATCAGAGGTATTAAGCATCAGTGATTTCAATGGACCCTCAGAATCCCTTTCTCATTCCTAGAGCTTTGGGAAGATCTTTCTATTAACAAAAATGGTACTATCAGGAACAGGTTTGGGGTGCTGCAGTAAATGCCTTTAGGAAAGTAGATTTTGTGAGAGCTACATAAAGCAATTAAGAGCTCCTGGAGAGTTCCTTCACACTGCTTTATATGATGCCATTTCTATGCTTATAATTGACAGAATTTAAAGGGTAATGGGATTATGAAGTTCTGATGACTACAAAACATGATTAGAGAGCTCCTGTAGCATGCCTTTGTAGACTGCACTTTATGAGTAACACTACTTAAGAGTTTAAAAATTAATTCTTCACAGTGGCACAGAAATGATGTACAAATGTAAGAGATACAAATACGCTGTAGCTAGGCAAAGGTTACCATCTGTTAATTCATTTTTGAATGGGAAGTGACTTTCAGTTTGCAGACGAACGTTCTGATTTATATATGAAGACAAGCAAGCACCTGAGACAGACCAGAGGACAAAACCACTTGATCTTTTTAGAACTGCGGACTGTGTGATGGTTGCAAATGTTAATGACTGACAGGAACATCACTCCATGAGGGGAAGAAAATGGAAGGAAAAAAAGGAAAATTGGGGTCTGATAAAAAGAAAAGACAAAGATTGTTGTGCTTCTAATGAAAACATGAGAATTTTCAAATGAAATGCAACCTTCATTACTTGCTAATGACCTTTCCCATGCAATGTCCTTTACCCTGCAAACTTTATAAAGAAAAATTGTAACTGCGCAAATGAGTTTAAGTGTCTGACTATATTGCAGAACAAAATGGAGTAAAATTTAAAATTTATCATTCTCTTGACTACAGGAGTAAGACACTGTGTCAAGCTGGGCTGAGAGAAACAAGAACAACATACAGAGATCACTCAACAGTTATTTCAAACCAACGGCAGTTACAGTAATTTTCACACATTCCCTTTGTATACATTACTTAGTATTCATCAACTTTATGAAATATTTCTGTAAAGAACAGTGAAGCAATATGTAAACCTTGAGAAGCAGTGAAGCTATGGACATTAAAAATTGTTTTTCACATTCAATATAACATTTTTAGAACCAACAGATGATTTGAGGAGATAATCTAAGTGTCACAAACAAGCAACATGTATGTACTGCAATTTTATTTCAATCGCACAAACGAAGTTAGCATGTAGGAAATTTAAATGAAACAGTATGGTAAAAACAGCAGAGAACTGAAAAAAAAAAAAAAAAACTAAAAGGAAGTACACCTAGAGCATGAGAATTCAACATTCATTAGTGTTTCATCTTCAGTTTTGATGGACACTTGCTGCAAATTTTGAAACGAACGTTTAAATCACGAAGTCTGTTCTGAAGAGATCTCAGCCCCAGCACTAAGGTTCGGACATTCAGTGTGTTTGCAGTTGACCTGTTAGCTGTTTACACAGTGTACAGTACACATCTGTCACAGATCAGGTCACAGTGGCGAGGAAAGCAGTACCTTCCTGTAATTAGAAAGGATCCCCTAAACTGTCCTCAGCTTAAGACAGCCAATGTACAAAAGCACAAAAACCACTAGAATAACGTGGCTCCACGGAACAGAGTTTTGTTAATAAGGAAAATAACTTAAGCTTCTGTTTCCCATTTTAATTACTGAAATCTCTTAACAATGACACACCATCATGTATGACAGCAAATGTATACAGTAACTCAATCAAACTTCTTGGGAAGAACACATTGAGCAATCTGGGATACTAATGCAAAATGATGGAAAATATAGTGTTATTCAACACTGGTTCTTGGTTGTCATTTTACACAGACATCATGTTAACATTAGACCAAGGCACAAAACGTTTAGTGCATAAACCAGTTCCTTTTAAGATCTAGCATTTTAATTTTAGTCTTTATCTTCCTTTGGACCGCTTGTACCCAGTACTCTATCCTACTATAGACTACTTAACCAACAAAATCAAAAGTGGCTTCTGACCAGATTCATAGGGGGCATAAACGTTCATATCCTCAGTGTTTGTATAACCAAAATTACAATAATAAAGATGAAAACGCCTCCTATTTCTTTTAGAAAATAGTACTTTATAAGCTTGCTGCATCTTTAACTCCTTCACTACTACTGCATGGCAATGAATACTGGCTAGAAAAAAGAACTTTATACTTGAATTATGATAGCTCATCCATCACAGTTTAACCTTAAAATGAAGTTTCTACAGAAAACAGGAACTATTTAACAAGGAAAAGAATTCCCTCATTCAAGTCTCTCTGAAGTGGTAACAGCTGCAATACTGCAGCACTGAGAAAACTATGCCATCAACAAAAGCTTCTGTCTAATGAATCAAGATGTAAGAAATCTAGAAGGCCAATGAAAATGGATTATTTCTTCAAAATTTTAGTAAAACTTCTGATAATCAAACATTTCAAAGCAAATATGGCACTTATAACAAGTCAAGCATAAATCAAGATGGAGAGCCTGGATAATTTTTGATTTGCTAAATTTTCCAAAAAGCTATAATTGCAACATATAGTATTTCTCACCTATTTTAATCTTATCAGTTTCAAAGAAAAGAAAAGGGAGTGGATCACGTATATACACAATCTCTCTTGCACACACGCACGCACACACACACACACACGGTGGTAAGGAGAGTATCTAATTCCTTCTTCCCACCACCTAAGTCTCACTTCACTTTATTTAAAAAAAAAAATTATGCAGAGCTCCCTTAATGATTTCTGTGACTTTAATTGTTGCCATCGTTGTTATTTCTTGTATCTCAACATAACAACATTCAAAAGCAGCTTCAGTCAGGAGCATGTACCTGAACACCTGGATAACTGCAGGGGCACCTCGGTAATAATAACTGCCAAATTCAGTGATCAAACTTTTGAGTTTCACGACAAGATAAACTTCTTGTGAAGCTCAGAATCATGTTTCAGGTCATTGAGATTATTGAAGTTAAAATACAAATAGCTGGAGACATGATGTAAAAGATTAAGCACTTGGTTCTGTTAACGTATTCACCAATTAAAGTCACAAAATATTCCTCATTATTATTCATGCAGGTAATTGAGAAAAAGATAGTGCAGAAATTAACTTTAAATTAAAAGCTATTCCTTCCCTTCCTCCCATTCCCCTAGACTCTACAAAATGTTTTCCCTGGGACTAGGCTTTGAAAAGCCCACTACACATTAGTGTGACATGCATTACAGTCTGCAATTAAAAAAGCTAATTTTGTGGTGGTTGTAATTACATTATAAAAATGTCCACATGCATAATTCTAAAAAAGGCTGAAAACCTACAGTAAATCTACAATATATTGTTTTATATTTGACCACTGGTTTGTGTTACGTAAGAGCCATAGATTTGGTAAAAGCATTGTGACAATTTAGGAAGGCATCTAAATCTTTAAATTCTGGACGAATTTTATGTTTTAATCTACAAAACTGCATGAAGGTTAACTCAAGAGGCTTCCTATCATTCTAAAATTCCTCAAGCTGAACCCATCATTTTCAGGACACTTTCTTATAAATATCACCCTTTGAAAACACACACAGTTCCATCTGTTCCACATTTTATGATCATAACCTATCCAGGGCTGATCTCAATTATTCATGGAATATCAAACATGATAGGAAGACAGACCTGAGACACACATTTACAATACAATAGCATAACTTGCTGAATTCTTCATCAGCACTCTCTGGGGGGAACGAAAAACTTCTTAAGCCTTTCTCTTCTTTATTTTAGCAATGGATTATGGAAAATGTGCAATTTTATCTTGACATGAAAATATTTCAGTGTACCGTGATCTCGCCTGCCGGGTATAGTATTTTCTGCATAACTGTTACAGGAACTCTTACACGACGACTCTCTTCCACCCTGCTGTAAAGGTCAGAAAAAAGCAGCACACTAGGAGGGAAACAGCTTATCGCCAGAGTGATAGGTCTGAAGGCTTTCCAAAATCGCTTGGTTTCTCCCTCCTTCCAACTGTTTGTCTCCATGTTCTTCTTACAGCTCATGAAATCTTGGGGCTTGTTGTTGTTGACAGCTGTTGTTTCTGGGTATTTCTTTTCTCCAGATTAAAGTCCTATCTCTCCTTAGTTTGTTTTTCTACGCAGTATTTGACTTGCTCAGTTCCTGCCTGATTGCTGGGTAGAAAAGGAAAAGTACTGAAAGTAAGTATCATGATAAGGTAAAACAAATGAGTGCATCATTTTTCAGCAACCTTAAGGATCGTATTCAAACTTGCACTAATAAAAAGACACACTGATTTTGCATCTTTCACAGCATGTATCATTGCTTTCTTATTACTAAGAGGAATACTATTTCTATATTTGTGCATTAATTTAGTCACCCTTTGGTGCACTGTGAAAACATGAATTCTATGGGCTCAATAACAAGAGGGCAGTGGGATGGATGAGTGGAGGTAACCTTTAGAAAGATCTGTTCACCTCGTCTTCCCGCTAGCACTACTCCACACCTGGAACTCAGTCAAGGGTGTTGTTTATCCTTAATTTCACACATAGTTTCCATTATATGAAGGAGACAGGATTACAACAGAAAAGTAATTTTTTTATGCTCTCAAGTAAGGAACTGGATATTTCTTAATTTACTGGCATTTTCTTTAAAGTGGTTATTCTTAAACATTATTTTAAAGGAATAGAAAATGTGATTAGACACTCACCATCAATGAGCTCTTCTTTTAGTTTTGTTAATTCTTTTCTCATTTCATCTAAAATATCCTGAAATATCAGGAAAAAAAAAAAATCAGAAATACCAAAAAGCAAATTGTTGCTAAGAAGATTCTGCTGATATAAAATTTTAAGAATGTATAAAAAATGATGTGTGGCTTTTGCTTCAGATTCATAGTTCTATTTCTTAAAACACTAGCCCTGGTAAATTTTTATTATTCTTCTCTGTTGATATAAACCCTATCTTTGCTTACTCCAGACTACCAAGATATGAAACAGAACGCTTTCTAAACTAACTACTCTCAACCACTGAAAGTTATGGTTCAGATAACTTTCTACAAAAAGTTAATAGCTCTGCTTTTAATTTATCCTCTGGTTCTAGTCTGAGAGGTGATGCATAAAAAAGTTGCAAGGAGGAAGAAGGGTAAATTGGACAGTCAGCTCTTGGCAAATTTGTCATCTGGTTTGAAGTACAGGGGTAAGTTATAAAACTAAAGTTTAGAATTAAAAGAGTCCTTAGGAATCACTACAGCTTTCAAACTATGTTTCCAGAAATTGTAGGATTCTCTTGGAGGGACCTCTGGGGCTGCCCCATGAATGGAGATGCAGGGGATGGGTCCTCCTGTACCTGCACTGTCCGATATGGCAGCCACCAACCACAGGTAGCTACTGAGCACCTGAAATGTGGCTGGTCTGAAATGAGATGTGCTGGAAGTGTGAAGCACAAGCCAGATTGAAAAGATTTAGTATGAAGAAAAGAATGTAAAATATCTTATTAATAATTTTAAAATACTGATTACACACTGAAGTGATATTATTTTGGATATATTACGTTAAACGAAATACAGTAAAATTAATTTCAACTGTTTAAATCTTTATACTTTTAAACTGTGAATACTAGAAAGTCTTTAATTACTTATGTGGCCTACATTATATTTCTATTGAACAGTGATGCTCTGGACTCTCCATCAACAAAAACCACTCCATCTTTATATGTATTTTGCATAATCTTTACTTGTAAGTACAATTAGAAACAATGGGCATACCCCCCCCATTAGAAATTTATCAAGAATTGTGTAATATCAAAGCTAAAAGGGCTAAGACAGGCAATGCAATTTTAGTTGGTAAAAAATAACAGCTCTCCTTTGTGAGGATTAGTCTTGAGTAACATGATTTTCTTTAATACTGCATACTGATAAAACTAAATTGTTCTGCATTGAGATTCTTTTAAAAAAAAAAAAGGTTTTGTTTTATTCCTTTAAAAAAATCAGCTTTAAATAAACTTTTTATTTAAAGGTGATTAAAGGCTTGGAGACAAAGTTATATATAGCATCAAACCCTACTGTCAACAAAATGTGAATCAGTAATAACAATCTCGAAACAACATAAACGAACAGGATTAAAATTACATAACTCAATTTATAGCTTTGCACTATAAAAATTAGGTTTATCTGAAATTATTGCTAGTATTTCTCTCTTTAATTTCTATATAACATTGTAGTATTTTTTGGTCTCTTTTTGAGCCCCATTCAAACATTTGCTAGTGTTTTTTAAAATGAGTAAAGCAATGGGAAAAGCATGGGCTTTGAAAACAGATCAGGGTTCTGATACTGACTCAATGATTCACTTAGCTGTGGGACTCTGAGTGTATAATTTAACGTCTCTGACCACAGGTGTGTAGAATTTGTGTATAACTGTACTATATGAATACTATGAGGAGTAGGGGATAATATCATGCTAAGAACCTAGCCTAGCAACTAAGTCTGTCACATATTCAATAAATGATGATTTAATTACTATATATTTTTTATTTTTACATAATTTGTATTTATTTTCTGAGGCTATCCTGAAGTTCAGGGTAAGAAGATAAAGATAAAAATTTTCATTACAGACCCATCTGTATGCCTTGGTAATAGGTTTACTAGCATGCGTTGATTTCAATTTAGAAATGTTTTTAAAAATATATCACCTCTTCTAGGAATAAAATTTCTAAGTTCATAACCTCATCACCTGTAGCCACTATTACCCTTCACACTCTTTTTTGAGGGTGTAGGTATTACAGAAAAACACACATGCATTCAAAATATGGACAGTATCTTTTTTTTTAATTGAGCTTACTGCACATATTGTTTTGTTACCATCTGATTCACCTAACCTGGCCAAGTGTTCACAATTCACTGTTAAGTATCTATCCAAGTCATAACTTCCTGATGGCAGAGCCCGCCACTATGTAACTGTGTGTAGTTGTTGCTAGTTGCCGTGGAGACGATTCTGACTCGTGGTGACCTGTACGCAGAGTAGAACTGTGCTCTACAGGGCTGTCAAAGCTGTGACCTTTTGGAAGCAGATCGCCATCAGCCCTGTCTTCTGAGGCACCTCTAGGTGGGTTCGAACCATCAATCTTTCAGCTAGTGTAACTGTATATTTCTGTAGTATTATTTTAGCATAAATTCCTGGAAGTGAAATTGCTGGGTTGCGGTAAGAAAATTTATTTAAGGCTTTTGAACTGTTTCCCAAACTGCCCTTTAGAAAGCACTGTAAGTATACAAGCGTGCCCAATTTCCCAGCATCTTGTCAAAATTATTTTTTGGTTCATTTTTGCCAATTTGGTAAGTGAAAAGCAGGAGGCCCATTGTTTTTTAACAATTGCACACCAGACACAAGAGTTAAATTCTTATACTACATCATCAAACAATGGTTCCCACACACTCCACCAATGCTGGAAATGTGATTTGCAAAAATAACACAGAACTAATGACACTGTTTAATTTGTATAAAAATATTCCAACAGTATGTTCTTTTCACGTATAATCATGATCCAAGTAAAAAATACGCATAAGAGATATTTTAAAAAGAAACAAGTACAGATAAAGGAAAGCTGCAGTTGAACACAACACATACCTGCTTCAATCTGTCGTAGTCTAGCCCCTCCGTCTGGACTCCATTGGCACTGGGCTGTGAGGAGGGTGCAGATTTTGGTCTGTACAAATGAAATTTCCAGAACAGGTAAACAGCACTTATAATATTTAATGAGTTTATAAATAGCTGCAAATTTACCAACCCAACACCAGATTTAAATACATTTCTTAAACAAAGCACATTTTGTTAAAAAGTTAATTGTCAAAGTTGTAGGACTGATTAGAACATAAAGTAGAAAGTATTTTTCACTTTTCTCAGTATTTCCGGTTGTATTTATAAAGAAACTAGAAAAAAGTGACAGGATGACGAGACTTCCTCAGGAAAGTGGAGAAGACAACATTCCCTGGGTATGAGGCAGGTGACCGTGTGTGGCTTGCTAACCAAGACAAAGATGAAAAGGCCAGCTGGAATAATCGAGGCCCAAGTAACACAATCGTGTTCTTTCCTTCCTCTGAAATTTTACATTATCTACTAAACACCTGGCAAACCAACAGAAGGGAAAACATAAAGACTTGAATATTTTACTTTAATATGAGTCAGTTTACAAATCCCAGTTTGAGTCTGGGAAAAAGAAGAAAACAAAACATTTTAGGAAGCACAACTCCTTCTTTTCAAGCATCAAAATAACTTTGGAAAAATGATTATTAGGATAGAAGCATATTCAGATCCCACGGGCAATCTATTTCCCTATGACGTTTTATGGAGAGGTTATGGGAATGGCAGGCAACCTATTTCCCTATGATGTTTTATGGAGAGGTTATGGGAATGGCATGTTCCAGGCTAACTACTTTCATAAACTCATTTTGTAAAAAAGGAAAATGCCAGGCAGAAAGAAGCAGGTGTCAATTAAGATTGGACTTTTGACAGTTAAGTCTTACAGATTAGGTATATTTGAAGCAAAAGTTTCAATACCAAATAAATTAGTCATGACTCCCTCTCCAATTCTGGCAATAAAATCCTCTGTGAAAAGCCTAATGCTTTTATCGGGTAATTTTTTCTATTTTCTGGTTTAGCATATAGTATAGTTTATGGCCACTCTTTAAGGTCCAGAAATCAACGCAAGTTGAAACCATTAGTCAACTCATATATCTTCAATTTGCAAAGTACCAGACAATACTAGAAATCTGAACCAAGACACTCAATAGATGTGATAACTTTTTCGGTTATACTTATAAGTTCGTAATTCTTATAAGACATATTATACTTCAAATCCATAGGAAATGTTTCTGAAGATGAAATACTGAGTTAATTTACTTTATTATCAAAACTTATTACTGCTTAAAAGGTTGTTATGAAGCAAGTCAACCAATTTTACTTATTAGTTATCTGCTTCTATATTTATACGAATAAGGGAAATAACCTTCAGAAAACTTCATCCAGTTAAGCATTGGGCTAGGCACTATGAGAGACAAAAAAACATCCATGTGACACATTACCCAGCCTCTTGTGAAGACATCTTTTCACTTTGCGAAGACTAAGTACTCAATCCTATAGTCACGTACGATTTAGTGAGATCCACAGTCTGCAAGTCATGGCGCTCTTTGTAGAGTCAGGTCTAGAAATAGTTTTGAAGACTGACACACTGTGGATTTCATATACCCACGCCATCAATTCTCTTTTCCAGAATTAAAAAATTACTACTTAATCTGCTTTCTTTTACTTCTTACACTTAAGTGGTACAACTATTAATCATTTCCTCTCATGTTACATAATGAATACCTCTGACACAACTTCAAGTGAGCAACCTGGCACTATTTATGAAAATATCTGTATTTACTAAACAGTGCAAAAACATGTTGTTATCACATAATAAACAATCGTGGAAACATGCAATTTTTTTAAATTTAATTCATGCTAACATGCAATCCATCACCACCACCACCATGATAATTAGCTAAAGGGGGGAACTTTTCATACTGAAGGAAAGAAGTAATCACCACTTTTTTTAAGGTTTATCAACAACATTATCCCAGGGGCACTGTGTGTAAAGCAGCCAGATAACTGAGGTTTACTATAGAGAATCTCATTGCTAACTGTTGTTTTACCCTCGACGTACTAGAAAATTGTCTAAAGAAGTCTTTTGGTCAGAACAATTAAACCATCTCCAAAAAAGCAAGAAAATTATCTTTCACTACTGCAATAAACATCTTATGGAAATTTAAGTCACTAACAAACGTATCAAATGTTTCATCATCAGTGGCATGAAAATAATTTTGGCAAATAAGAATGTGGCCAAATAGTCTGATTATAAAACTCTCTAATCACTGCCTTGGGCACCCCCCTTCATATACTATTTAATTCATGCTCCCAGTAGGCACAGTAGTTTTAAAAACAGATGCATATGACAACATGGGTGCAGTATTTTAGTTATTTCTAACCTATGAGTTTTCACTGTAATTGATGACAAAATATAAGGGTTTCTCAGAGGTTTTTATTACTTTATAATGAGAATGCTGCCTCTAGACACCTTCCTATAAAATAAATGTTCTGTAACAGGCAAGTCCTATTCTCCTATTCTGCCAAATTAATTCTAAAAATAGCTTAAGCATTTGATTTTTTAAATTGCCACTTTTTAATTAAAAAAGAAATACATGGTTCATATCTTAAGTTCTTAATTTTAAAAATGTTATAATAGGGCTCATCCTAGAAAACAAATAATCTGCTGATTCAGATTCAGGGTATTAGATGTTAGGTTGTGAAGGATACTCAATTATTATAAAGTATCTAGAAAACAGAGATTTTCCTGAAAAAATACTATGGTTATACTATCCTGTGTTCCAGTAACAGTACAGGATCTTCTACCCCATGTTTTAAAAGCTGAGTCTCATTCTCATAATCATAAAGAAAACAGTCTTTTAAAAAAATGCTATAGCTACACTCTAGATAATATATGCCTTAGGTTCTTATCCTAGTATTTCTGATGTTTACCCTTTATATTAATTATCCTAAGCAAACCATAAGTGATGGCAAGGAAATGGATACTATTAAATTTTTCTAATTCAAGTTAAATTCTTAGGATTTTTTTTTTAAGCCTTCTAAATAAAGCTAAAAATGAAAGAAAGATTCAGTCTTCCTAAACATCTACCTTGTGGTGATTACCAATCCATGTAGAAAAAGCTCAGCCCTATCCTGAATATGTTATTTAAAAGTCTCAAATCACAAAGTCCCAGCAGGATGATACCTGTGTAATGAATCATAGGACCTGTTGTCAAAAACAATCTGATTTTTCCTTGGAGACTCCCGTCTATGAAGGGGAAAAACCATTTAAAGGGGTGTACAATAGAACTTTAAAAATAATTCTCATTATGTTACTGTTTTACAGGCTTCTTAGTCACAGCAAACAAGAGTCAGAGGAGTCCATCAACCTTAAAACAACCATTTTTTCAAAAATTAAAATTAGATACTTTGAGACTAATTCTAGTTCGGTGAGAATGAATACTTTACTCGACAATTACAGAAAATAAAAAATCACTATGCAGTGGCTACTTTTACAGGCTGTAGGCACAGTAATAAAACTTACCCACCACAAAGGTTCAACAAGTACCAAAACACTTTCGAAGACATTTCTATTAAGAGTGAGTCTGAAGCTACAGACTGAAAAGCACCAATCAATCACTGTAGCTTGAAGCATACAAAGCTAGCTCTTCTCAGGAGGCACCAACAGAACTTTTCTCCATCTTGGATACAAGATCTCTATGTAAGCTCTTAATAAAAACCAGAGGAAGAATCTGCAAACTTTCCAATATGTTACATTCGAATCACGGTTTGAAGTATTTTTAACTACAATATTCTTGCTTTTATTCTACTATCTAGCATCTTCATGTAATAAATACAGCATAATGCAAGTATCTCTTGTATATGATAGGATATTAATCCATTTTACCACTAACATAATTTTGACATGGATATTCAGGAGACAGATGGCACTTTTACTCAGTACAAGGATGAGGCACACTTAAATAAAAGCATAAAATAAATGGCCAATATATCTGCTTTCAGGAGGATCATGAGAGATAACTTAGGAAGAAAAGCAATACAGTTCTTAGTCTTTTAAGCATGTTTGTTCTATTAATGGTGTAAGACTGCTTTCAGTGACATACATATCAGTGACATATCAGTGGCTGGATCAAATCTATCAAAAGATATACGAGAGTCAGAAAGAAATCTGGAAAGAATTTCTATTTTGGGCAAGGAGAAAAAAACCACCTACCATAGTCAGAGCATGATTACAATGCACTACTGGATAGCAAGAATGAAGGTTAGATTAATCTACGTAAAATATAATTTCAAAATGGTGACCTTTAACACACTTACTGAACTTCATTTAGAAGGCTGAAAAATCTTCCCAAGAATACTTTTTCCTTCACTAAACGGCCCCAAACATATCAAGGAACATGTTCTATTTGGAAAACTTTTTCACGTCCTCCCTGACAGACGTCTCCCATCAGCTGAGGTTTAGCTGTAATGAAGACAGCTCACTATGAAATTCCTGTCAATGGAGCAGCGATGAAGAGCAGTGGCAGACTGGAGAAAGAATTCTTTCCCAGCACAACTGACATCTTCAAAGGGCAAACAGCACATCACAGTTCTGTTCCCTGACACTCACTTCGTAAATCAGGCCTCACAATGGGCTACTCTGTGTTAGAAGGCCACCTCAACAAGGTAGCTAGGAAACGTAAATGTGCAATTTTTCTACTCTACTGTAAAAATGTGACCACCACTTGCAATTCCTCTATTTTCTTCTAAAATCAAGTACACATTTCTCAATTCTTAGAAACTAAGAGCTTGCATACATTTAAAAAGGCCTAGTTTTTTTGTGGTGCTTAAACAACTGTGTCATCACCAAATCTTCTTTCCTAACAGAAAGAACCACACAAAATCCAAATCCAGGTTTAGATGCAGGCTAACACAGAATGGATTTGTGACAATATGACATTTATCCTTGAAATTTTCTTTACTAAGTTTCTATGATGAGAGTCAAGTTAAGTTTTTGTGAGGCAAAAATAAGACAAACAGTTCAGAAAGAAAAGGCAAAATACTTTTTAGTCTCTAAATACATATTTTTTCCTGGGAAAATATGAGTCCTTTAAACTTTCTCATTAACCAAAAAAAAGTTTCATCTATGCTCAAGACTTGTGATATAAATTTAGTCATAACACAGCATGCCTGGCTAAGAAATGCTGAATTTGCTTGGCCATGTCCACACGCCCATGCTCAGAAGCACATGTTAACCAATCCTGTTTCTGAGCACTAGCTTTTCTAATTTCATTATGATTAGGGGTTTCAACTGAGATACAGAAATAAATCTATCTGACAAATTCAAACTTTAAGGTTTTGTTTTGTTCTCGCTTAAACAATACAGTCTTTTCTCTCCAGTTGCCTTTCTTCCAAAAATTATATGTAAAAAGCAGCTATGAAGGATGCTATTGAGACTACTGGGGAAATCTGAAAATATACTCTTTTAGGCAATATTATTGTTCAGTGTTAAATTTCTTGAGAGTGATAATGGTATTATAGTTACACAGGAGAATGTCTTTGTTCTTAGGATAAATGTTGAAGTACTCAGGATCAGGGTGAAGCAGCATACGTCTGCAACTTATTTTCAAATTGTTCAGAGGAAAAAAAAGTGTGCGTGTATGTGTGTGTGTATATATAGAGAGAGAGAGAGAGAGAAAGCAAACGCAGTTAAATGTTAAGAACTGGTGAATAAAAGCGAAGGGTATACACTGGACTATTCCTTCACCTTTTCTGTAGTTTTTAATTTCTCAAAATAAAAAAATTTGGAGAAATAAAATCTATTTAAAAATTTCCAACAACCTGACTAATAAAGATAGGATACTACTTATCAGATAGTCACTAGTAAAAATCTAATGGACTGAGGTGGAGGGGTGGGAAATAAAGGAGTATTGCTTAAGGGGTACAGATTTCTAAGGGTGATGCAAAAATTTGGAAATGGATAGTGGTGATGGTTGTACAACATGGTGAATGTAATTAAGTCCACTAAACTGTACATGTAAAAATGGTTTAAATGTTTATATACATTTAGCCACAATAAAATACACACACACACACACACACACACACACACACACATATAAAATGGGACTCACTGGTTGCCCAAATAGTAGTGGAATTGTGGGTGTCTCATTTGCTCCTCTGTACAATTTCTAAATTTATAATTTGAAATTTTTTACAATAAAAATGTATTTTCTTATTATATACAAGTGTAATATAAACCTTAGGAAAAACATCGATACCTGGAGATAACAGGTGACTTGCTGCCATTCATTGTATTTGTTCTTTCCCAAGGTTTTCTTGTTGGTTCTTTAAAAATAAAGGATACAAGTTATTAAATACCATACCGCATCCTGAGTTACTATAAAGTGAATAACTAAATGCCATCATACGTAAATAAATAAAAAAATTTTAATTTAAAATCTTAACTAATTAAAATCTATAAGGATTCTAATTTGTTGAATTTCAGACCTTAAAATTAGAAATAATTAATAAACAAATGTGACAAGTTTCCATAGGAAAAACTCAGATTGTTAAATCTAAAACACTGTAATTCTATAAATCAGATGGTAGAAGTTTCTCTAATAATGACAGCATAATAAGGTCAAGGTCGGTAATTTTAATTAGAACGGAACAATACGAACTATATTCTTTTAAAACAATAAGGATAGTTTAAAAACTATAATCTTTAATATGTTCATGTACTTCAATATTTAATCTAAATCCAAATAATCCTCTTGCAGAAAAATTCAAATAATTTAAAAAAAAATTCAGAATCGGAACCCTGTCATACTACCTTGCTTCTCAAACCACCAATTCTTGGGACTTAACAATTCCATTAAATTTAAGTACATCTAAACTCTTATTAGGAGCCTGGGTGGCACAAGCGCTTTGCAATCAGCTGCTAACCCAAAAGCTGGTGATTTGAATCCACCCAGCAGCTCTGCGGAAGAAAGGCCTGGCGATCTGCTTCCATAAGGGTTACAGCCAAGAAAACTCTAACACACAGGGTCACCATGAGACGGGAACCGACTCAACGTCAGCTAACAATAACAAGCTCCTATTACAAAAGACACTACGTAGTGACCTGCTGGTCGGGAGTCTATTAAGTGCTTTGAATTGTTTTTCCAATTTGGGCTGACTCACTGATGTTCTCATTGGCCTCAAGAGATGGCTGGGTGAAATCAAGAGTGGAATCTTGCTGTGCAAGAGAGCCTAAGTCCACGTAGGAGTCATGATCTCACTGTGCAGTCTTAACTAGGAAACTCTGCTGAGTTCCCTAACCCTAACCCTCAGATGGCTTCTGCACATTCTCATTCAGTAGCTTGTTCTCTCTTCAAACTAACATATCCAAAACTAAAGTCAGACTCTCCCATGAAACATTGCTTTTGCTCTATTTTCTGTCACGTCCAGACATGTAGGTGTGATCATGATTTGCTCCTCATCAATCAAGTCCTTTCTTTTTAATTATACCTTCCTATTCCTTCTTTTGTTTTCCAATAGTTAACACATTCTCTCAACAACCACCACAATGGTGGCAGCTTCCAGACTTAGCCAGGAGACATCAAACAATCAGATGAAAAGGTCCAGGACAGCCAGAACATACCCAGTGGACACCAGCCAGAGCAGGTAAAAAGAGGGAAGCCCTGAATGAAACTAGACAGGCAGAGAAATGGTCATCAGGACACTGTCAAAAACGAGGCAGGTGGGAAGGTGAGGAAGTAATTCCAAAACAGATAAGATGTAACAAATGCCAAGGTCCTTTCTCAATCCACCAAACCAGAGCCGTCTTTAATGGCACATCTGGTTTTGAGGAAGAGTGGCTCGCGTCGGAAGCAGAACTAGTGAGGTCATCTTCTCTTGACAGGAGCCCCATGTCAGTTTCAGAAGGAAGAGCAGAGGCTGGGTTAGCTTTAGGGGGGGTCTTTGGGCACACCCTGGATTCTTACTGGCCCTACTACATAGTTTCCAAACAGCTTTTCCTATCTCAGCCCTCTCTAACTTCCATGCTGTGCTGCTCACAGCAGCCATTTTAATGTTCCTAAAACGGTTTTGGTTAATTAAATGCCAACCTGATGCTTGGAGGATAAAGTCTAAACTCCTGAGCTTTCTATAGAAGGTCCCATCATTCTGATATTCTAACTTGCCTTTCCAACCTGACTTGCCAGTACTCTTCAAACTCCAATTCTCCATTCTAGTCAGGTAAGTATACTTATTATTTCCTAGTCTCTTCTTGCTTATCCGTAACTCCTATTATTGTCCATGCTACACTTAAAATTTCTGAAGTGTCTGACACAATGACAATTAAAACAAAACAAAACAAAAAAAAATGAATGAAGCAAGTGAAAAAAAGGTCCTAGGCTGTGTGAACGCACCCTTGATTTTATACATGCGCCACACATGTACACACACACATAATCCTGTGCTTTACTTTGTCATATTTTGAATAGGGGAGTATATATTAGATATATATATATATATATATATATTCTTAATTTGAGATCCATGGATAACTTTTAGGAAATTCATGAATATTTTGAAAGTATAAATAAATTTCTATAAAAATACAATTTCTCCTCCCTGGGGAGAGGGTCCGTATCTTTCATCAAATTCTAAGAAGATCTGGTGACTCTAAGGTGCTGTTCAGTCTACAATATCTATGGTTCTAATAAACGCATCATAACTAATTCTGGCTTATAGGAAGAAAGATAGAGGTAAATAAGCGGGTCACAAACCACAGAGAATTTTCAATGAAGAAAGAGTAAGCTGACTTGAATACTATTCAGAGGGAAAACAAGGTGGGCCAAGGAAAAACAGTTCATAAAACCACAATGTATAATCTAGCAAATCAGACTGATGAATAGCACTATTCAATAATGAAAACAAGGAATTTTTATGTGCAAATGGGTAACAGTCACAAAAAAAAAAAGTATGTTTTCTAAAAACTGTATTTATCTAAAAAGTTGAATTCTAGAGGCCTCTGGCAGTCTCCAAATCAAAATGAGTAGGAATTAATTTAGACATTTCTCCATAATGATTTCCTAGGGACCATTCTAGGAATTAATTCAAATTTATTTATTCCATTTCATTCCAAAATAGATAGGGAGGTGAAGAGAGAGTACAACTCTCAGTCTTCTAGTCAAATGTAAGGAAATAACATGCAAAATTCTACCAATCTCATATTCTCACTGTGGACATACTACTCATTAAGTATTTCCAGTGAAGTATGTTTTGTTAATATTCTAAGTAGTATAATCTACGCTCAAGAGTTCTCAATGAGAAACTTTACTTCCTTGGTGAGCAATCTAACCTACATGCACAAGTAAAATAACGATCTTCTCACTTGAGAATGTTTTCAAATAGACTTTAGTGCTAGCTATACCATGCCTACTTAATCTTTACCTTTAATAATCAATTATTACTAAAAGTTCCCACTCATCTAGTAATGTATTCTCTTCCTGTTTCAGTGAACAGTCTCAAAACATTAATGATAATATACATGGAATATGTAAAAAATTATGATTCTGAGAGAAAGAGTCAGCAGAAAAAAACTTTGGATTTGAACGCATCTCCGAATATCAGGAAGAAAGTAACAGTCGCTTCTGGGATCACAAAGGGCAGGAGAAAAAGGCAATACTTCCTACAGTGTGAACAAAGAACTTTAAGTAAAACAGAAGTCACTTGGTCTAAACATGGGAAAATGAGAAAATTTTAATTGGGGAGTATTAATATATAGTGTAAATTTACAAACATTAAAATACTTCTCTTAACTTACCAGGTGTACTTGTAGAGGCCTTAGTTACAGGCTCTGAATCTTCCTAAATATACAGAAATACATGTTAATAATATCACATCTACTGGAAATGAGTTCATATATATAAATAGTTCACGTTTTATATTCCCACTTCCAATACTGTCTCTGTGCCACTTGCCACTTTTCTCTATCTTTTCTCCCTTCCATCCAGATTTCTTCTTTTACCTTCTGGACATTTCCTTCTACTTTCCCCACAGCTCCTTTCTTCGTATGTTCTCATTGAGAACTTGCATTAGTCAATGCCATGAGGTCAACATATGGGATAACTTTGAGCAACGACAATAGGGCCAAATGTAACAGACAAAACAACCACTTGATCTGTCAGACATCAAAATCTAAAACAGACAAAGGCGACTTTCCCCAGCTGAACCAGGGAAGCGGGCACTGAGGGTTATACTCTTGGGGATACACCGATTAACCACAGGACTCCCAGGGGAATCCGGAAACTGTGGATTTAGTTCAGTTCCCTCATTTTAAATGCAAGGAAACTGAGACCCTAAGAGATAAGATAACCAGTGAAAGGTCATGCCCTCTTCTCAAGGCAGGTTTAGGCAGAGTTAAGATCTACAAATTTGAAGTTCAGTGCCTTCCCCACAACCCCACACGTTCAGCCCATTCTACTAGGAATGCCATTAAAATTTATACATACCACTCAAAACAAGCCATTTCTAATATTTGAAGACTTAAAAATAAGAAAATGTAAGTTGAAATGAATTGTGTTTGAACTTGAATCTTTCACACGACTTCCTGAATAAGCTGTGCCTCAATTTTACACTTTAGGTGTAGCAGTCTATCCTTCTAACTTACATTTTTGTCCTCTTTTTGTTCTGTTTCTATTGTTGATCCCTTTTCAGCAATCCTTCGCCTAGAAAGAAGGCAACCAGATTAAAAAGAAAAAAATATAATTCTTAATATAAAAACTACTCTTTCTCCAAGAGGGAAGAATTGCATGCAGTTAAGTTATATTTGGAGTAAAAGGAACAAAACCCTCTCAACCCTGGACACGTTCACTATAATGAAAATTTTCACTCACCTCCTGGCCAGCAGGGCGCTCATTTCTTCCATTAAACCACTACCCCCTAAAGGAAGGGGTCCATTTCCACGACCTGTTTCTGTTTTAGATGAGGCCGAATTCACACCAACGGTATTCCCTCCACTTTGGAAAGAGGAATCCTCCATCTTAATGAGAATACACATACTTAATAAACTCCCATGTAAGACAGCCATATGTTTACCAACATTCTACATTTAAAACAGAAGACACATCAGCATTAATTTCGATAAAAATACCTAAGTATTATTTTTAACCTTCTTAAGAACCAACGGAGTGAACAGCACTAATTTTATATATCAATGGGAGTTTTATCAAAGTTAGTATCACCATAATGGGATAATACTATGCGCTACTTCAGTGGTATTCTTGCCCCCCTCCCCCCATCTAAATCTAGTCTTCAGGAAACATCAGATAAACCCAAACTGAGGGACGATCTATCTTATGGATTGAATTGTGTCCCCTAAAAATGCGTGTCAACTTGGCCAGGCCATATTTCTCAGTATTGTTTGGTTGTCCTCCATTTTGTGACCTGATGTGATTATCCTATGTGGTGTAAACTCTAATCTCTACGATGTTAACGAGGCAGGATTAGAGGCAGTTAAATTAATGAGACTGGACTCAATCTACAGGATTAGGTTGTATCTTGAGTCAATCTCTTTTGAGATATAAAAGAAGTCAGCAGAGAAGAGAGGGACCTCATATCACCAAGAAAGAAGCACCAGGAGCAAAGTGCATCCTTTGGACCCGGGGTCCCTGTGCTGAGAGGCTCCTAGACCAGGGGAAGATTGATGACAACCACCTTCCCCCAGCGCCGACAGAGAAAGAAAGCCTTCCCCTAAAGCTGGCGTCCTGAATTTGGACTTCTAGCCTCCTAAACTGTGAGACAATAAATTTCTCTTTGTTAAAGCCATTCACTTGTGGTATTTCTGTTATAGCAAGCAGCACTAGACAACTAAGATAATCTAGAAACTAATTTTCTTATAGTTTTCAAAAATGTCAGTATCATCAAAGACTGAGGAATTGTGATACATTCAAGAGACTTGACAACTGAATGTAATGGGTAATCTTGGACTAGAAAAAAAAATTGCCATAAAAGACATTATTGGACAATGGATGAAATCTGCATAAGGCCTGTAGATTATAGTATTCTATCAATGTTAAATTTTCTGATTTTGATAATTACACTGTGGTTATGTAGGTGATATCTTTGCTCTTACAAAATACACACTGAAGTGTTCATGGAAACAGCCACAATGTCTCTGACTTACAAATAATTCAGGAAAAAAAGTGCGTGTTTGTGTGTATGTATGTAGAAAGACTCATACAAACAGAAAAACAAAGCAAATATAGTAAAATGTTAAAGGGTAAATCTGGGTGATGGGTTTACAGGAATTCTTTACACTATTCTTGCAACCTTTAAAAAGTTATTTCAATTTTTAAAAATATCAATGAAGTTAATAACAGGGTTCATAAAATCAGAATACCACAAATCCATTATTTTAGATATTTAGAAAGAATAAGACATACATAAGTAACACAGGAATTCAGAAACATATTTACCCGTGACACTTTCCTAAGTTTTGCTCCAGCAATTGCAGCTGCAAGTCCAGTTAAAGGGCGATTGTCTTCTGACACAGATCCCACAAAAAATCCGGATGCAGGGAGGGGAGGGGCGGGAGGTGGTGGGGGAGGAGGGGGTACTTGATTAGGAAGAGGGGGTGGAGGGGGCGGGGGTGGAGGCCCGGAGGATGGAAGCGGAGGTGGTGGAGGGGGCCCTGGGGGAGGGGGGAGTACTGCTGACACCTGGGCAGGACCTGGCGGGAGTGGTGGAGGGGGTGGAGGTGCAGGTGGTCCCAAGACAATGCCTATGAGAAAGAAATGTTAAATAAGACCATCAATAATGGAGCTAAGTGGTATTATTTCATGTAGAAAGGAATGTATGAATGACATGATAAAGTGACTCAAACATTTACTACATATTAATGAGTTCAATTTATTATAATGTTTGAAGTTTAGATCAATATAAAAAAGGGTACTCAAAGGCAAAGCCAAAGTGTACAAATACTTTAATATTAGAGTTTATTAATAGGATTACATAACAAATTATCTAATTAAGATTTTTTGTTCATGGAGATTTGGTAAATAAAGTAAATGCTTATTACAAAATTGGGGAGGGAGGTAAGTGTCCACAAAAAAAAAAAACAAAAAAAAACCCAAAAAACTAGTAGATATGATGGCAGTAGGTACTACCTGAATAACAGAACCAAGAAATCTATGTAAACTTTAAGTTCTGAAACAATAAATTCTACAATAGTGAAGACATACATTTAGTTGTTTACAGATAGCCAAAGTGGCTGGGTTAATAACATGAAGAAGGGATGGGTCCCAGGCTTCAGTATTTTCTCATTTAAATGCAACATGCAGCCAGGGTTGAGAACCATTTAAGCAAATGATCTATTGGTACAAAGTAAGACCTCAAAATAGCTCTCAGAAATAATTAAATGACATAGCATTTGATATACAGTTTTTTTTTTTTAAGCTTAGAAGATGGGGGTAAGAAGAGAAACGTTAAAATCCTGTAAAATCACAAAGGGAGTGAAAACAAGAACTTATTTAACGTTAGAATACTAAACTAGTGGGTTGCCCCTTCCTTATGGCTTCAAAGGGGTATCTCAGGACAAATAAAATGCTATTTGCACACTGGGTGGTAAATTTTTTGAAACTGCTAACTTTGAGCAGCTGCACAAGCTGAAGACATCACTTGCTCAAGGAAGAATATAGAGTTACTGGCCGTCAGTCTCCAAGGGCACAGCAGGGAGAGCTTTTAACCTTGCCAGGCTGGATGTGCCTCTTACAGTATTCCCATCACAGGGATTCAAACTGGACATATTAGAGTCTTGACTCAACTTTTAAGCAAATTCATGCAGTCAATAACAAAAAATATATATATAAATACACATATACAGCAGTAACAAGCCTTATTACTTTATTTTAGGAACTAAGATTTTGTTGAAGAGGCATGTTCAAATCTAGACTATAACACTGTTTCCTTGTTAGTGCAAATCTGTTGTCAGATTCCTTCCTGTAATCCTCTTTAAATCCTGTTTTTTAAGAATAAGCAAATTACTTACTTATAAAATCAGGTCTTTCTCTACTATAAATAATCCATACTTACTAGAATACTCTCCCTTCTCCGCTACCTTGAAAGTAAGATATGTGTGTGTGGGCGGGGGGGGGGGGTGCACGTGTAACTTAGAGGATGCTGTTCTCTCTCAACTATCTCTTCAGCCCACTATTTCTTGTCATTTTGGACCATGGAACTCTCTGTGGAATAAACCATGCCTATCAGCTGCTGCACAGGATTTAGGGTGGTTCCCAACCCTGTAAGTCCAACACGGGAAATCCAATAAGGGAGAAGCCAAAATAGAACGGGGCCAAGATCAGAATTGTTCCAGATGAAGCTCTAAGATGACCTATCTAATGACTACAGTTGGGTAATAAATACATGGCTACGTTTTCCCAGAAAGTAAAGGAAAACGAGTTAGATCACACGTTTACTGTGTGGTAGGTCCAATATGTATTCAGGTAAAGTATTCCTAGTGAGATTTTAAAGAAACAGATTATGGACTGAAAAACATCTTCAACTGCAGAAGACACCAAAACTTGGTTCAATATGGTAATTTCTCATATTGCTCCTCCAATGGCAATTCCAACATGAAAAAAAAATTATTTTCTACTTTAGGAATTTTTTTTTTAATTAAGAAAATATGGCACTATGGCACAAAGACGTTCAGCTTTCAAAACCATCTTATCCATTCTTTTAGGCAATTAAAACTGTTGACGTAGATCATCTTTTCAAGGAGTGAGTTGTTAGCAGCAATAACGAGCACCTTACCCTGTTGGGCTGGAGTCTCGGCCGGCTGAGAGGCTGCCTGCAAGCCTGGCTCAGAAGCAGAGGAGTCTCCCAGCACAGAGTTTAGAGGAGTCTCAACAGAGGCAGGGGCAGCTGCAGAGGGAGAACGGAGAACACTAGGCTTGGATGAGGGAGTTGAGGCAATAGGGGTACTTGGAGGAGAAGCTTGAGATCCACAGTGTGAGAGTGATGCAAGGGAAGGCAGTGGAGGAGGAGGCGGCGGCGGCAGAGCTGCTGGTCCTGAGGTAGGCGGTGGAGACACTGGATATGTTACAGAGTCAAGCAGCCCATTGGGTGCTGTTGGTGATGGAGGCATTTGGGGCACAGGAGAAGAAACACAAACAGGGAGGACAGGCCTCGGACCAGTAGCCTTGCCTGGGGGGCTGCTAATCATTACTGGAGGAGATGGAGGGAGGGGTGAAAAATTGGAAGTAGACCAGGCACAGGGCTTCGTAGCTGGAGGCTGAGAAGAGGGTGTGTTCACAGGAGAAGAAGGTCGAGAGTTTTTGTTCATAGGACGAGGGACTGTAGCATAATGGGGAAGAACAGGGTGGAAGGCTGAACCTAAAGATGTTGCAAAACGTGTCGCTGAGTGTCGAAGTGGTGGTGTAGGGGGTGTGGAAGTAGGTGGCAAAGCGGTCACTACAGCGTAATCAGGAGTGGCATCTGACACTGGAGCGGAGATGACTTTAGCGTATGATGGAGGAGGTGCTGAAGGAGGCTGGCAACTGGAATACTCAGGAAGTGGAGCGTTATACAGGGAGCTGTCTGAAGATGGAGCTGGACAGAAGGTAGAAAGCAGCGGCAAAAGACAGGATAAAAAAGGAGAGAGAAAAAGGGAGCTAGTGAAGCCACAAAACCAGCATTCAGACAAAATGTATAAACGTAGACTACAGTTAGTACCAGAGAATTAGGCACATGTGCAAATAATTCTTTTTAGCCGAGAATATTTTAATCTATAAATACATTTTGAAATCCAGAAGTAAGTTTTTTTATTCAATAAGTGAATTAATTAAATTGATTTATCCTGTATGAGACAACAGTTTACAGATCTAAATTTTTATTATTTAGTCCACTAGAAGGACATTCAAATTACATGAATAGAACATACTATAAGCAGAAAAATAAGTTGTTGTTTTTTTGAAAGCAACAAACAACAAAAACTGGCAAAACATTTATTATAAAAAGCTAAGAACCCTTATTCAAAGCTTATTTGTGAAAAAGTTATGTTTTATTGGCCATAATCCCAGAAAATAACTAAGCAGTTAAAAACAAATGAATTAACTCAAACAACAACAACAAAAGACCCATACTTAATCAATGAACATCGAGACTTATATATAGGCCATATGGAATAAAAAATAATTCTTAAATCCTATAATGAATGTTAACTTGAAAGAATGTTAAAATACTTAGAACTTCCAGCTATACCTTAACTCTCAAGTCGGTCAAAAAATTCCATCAGATGTAGTAATTTTCACAATATTAGAAAATATATTTAAATCACCATTCAGTTTTAGAGAGGATATTTTTCACCTAATGTTTTAATCTCTCCTTCATAAACTTTAGAATATAATCATGCAAATTTCTTGCAAAGTGGTAACATAATACTACAGTATTTGAGAAGAGTTAAGCAATCTCATGAGGGAAATATATTCTAAGTTCATCCAATTTAAAAAAATTCCCATAAAAACACACTTACATTTTATAGTCAATTTATAGGGACTTAGCAGAATTAGAATGCCGGAATAAAAATTTCCAGGAGCTTTCTCTAAGTCTCCAAGTAATAAAACCAATACATAAAGAAATAAAAAGAAAATGCAAAAACAGTAATTGCTGCTTATTTTTCATAATTTCAGACTGTATTGTTTAATCCCAAGAATCTCAAACGCGAAATAGTCTAACACATGACTACAGAAAACATCGTCCAAGCTCAGCTATATTAAGAACACAGAATAGTGTGTAAACTTCTTACCAGCATTTGATATTCTTCGCTCTCTCTCCCATTCCAACTGTTCCCTTTCTAACTGTTCTTGTCGCTCTCTTTCTTGCCTTTCCCGTTCAAGTCTCTCAAGTCTCTCCCGTTCTTGCCTTTCTTGCCTCTCCCGCTCCAGGCGTTCTTGCCGTTCCCTTTCTTGTCTCTCTCTCTCCAGCTGCTCTTGTTCTAGCCGTTCCCTCTCCAGCCTTTCCCTTTCTAACCTCTCTCTCTCCAACCTCTCCCTTTCCATTCTTTCTCTCTCCAGTCTTTCCCGCTCCAGTTCCTTTTGTCGTTGCTGCTCTTGTAGTTGCCTAAAATTAAAAGAAAGAAAGAAAGAAAAAGCATTATGGTTAAATCATTAAAAAGCTATTCCTTTCATAATGAACACGTGAAGCTTATTCCTGATTCAAATACAAAGCAATGCAGAGCATTTGATCAACATCTATTCTCTCACATGAAGAAAAGCTATCTTAGAGACAACAGTTTTAATAAAATGAAAATATTTCTGTTATTAGGATCATTCAAGCTGAATGCTTCAGCATATTTACGCTCATTTTATTCCGTACTTTCCATGAAAAAAGTGCTGATAATGAATGAATTTTCCAAATAACTGTATACAACACTTTAAGGACCAAGTCTCTGAGTAATTTAATGAAAACATTTCTAAATTGTAATTTCCTTCCTAAAATATAGTATCAACTTTTAATTGAACAAATAATACATTATCATTTCAAAAAATACAATGGTTAGCCTTAACGACAGCTCAATAAATGTTTGCTGAATGAAGGGAAACACTGTAAGAAGAAATAAGCTTTGAATCATCTGAAATCTCATATCCAGAGTCAACTACAATTAGTATTTGGTAATATATGTTTACAGGTCTTTTCTCATCTAAAAATACACATATAAACATTTAAAAACAAATGAGATCTTACTTCCCTACAACTCTGAAATCTGCTTCCTTCCTACTTACATACTGTAAAGTAGTTCTAACCAGTAAATACAGTTCTGCATCTTTATTTTTTATGAGCACGTAGTATTCCACTGTTTCACTGTCCATAGATGAAGCAGTCTCTTACAGTAGGATATAAATTATCCTAACACTATTACTACCACTGCAATAGAATTTATCTTCATATATCTTTGAACCTTTTTCCAACTACTTCCTTAAGATCAATACTGAAGCACAGATTTGCTAAGTGAAAAGGTACATATTTTTTAAGATTTCTGATACACGGTTCCCAACTGTCTACAGGAATAGTTGTGCCAATTAACACTTCCCAGTCAGCAGCCCAGCAGTATTTGATAATGCCCACTTTCTTTTCCCCTCACCAACACTGAAGTGCTCATTTTTAATCTTTGCTAATCTGACTGGTATCACTATCAGTTTGTATTTCTTTGATTACTTCCTGTGATCTGCCTTTGCTATCTTTTTTACATAGTCCTTTTTACAACAAGATTATATAATTACCTATACTTTCCTCTAATACTTTTATGGTTTTATTTACTTATAACAGTATCCTTAACTCATCTGAAATGCATCTTGGGTATGAGATTTGAATACTAATCAACCTCTCTCCTCCCCCAAATGATTAATCAGCTGTTGAAACACCATTTTTTGAATAGGTTATGGCCGTGATTTATGATGCCACCTTTACATGTGTTGGCTGTTTCTGAACTTCCAGAACGTTGTGGTTCATAGATCTGTTTAATATGGCAACAGTATCCTGATGCTTTGACATTTGCAATATACTTTAATAAGCTGCATCCATTCTTATTACTATTCTTTTTGAGTTTTTCCAGATGATTCTCACACATTTAGTTTTTTCTAGGTAAATTTTAGAATCATTTTGTTAAATTCACCCTTTGGGCCAACACCTATCCTCTCGATCATAGGATATTTTATTAAATTTGAAGATGAACTAGTAAAACATTCACATCTTTTTATGTCCACGTCAATTGTTCTTTTATGCCCTAACAGTTTCTTCTTTAAATCTAAGACTTCCAATTTCCAAGGATGATTATGGAATCTTTTTGTGATTATATTAAAACCTACAGAGGCGTAAGGTAGCAGCCCTAAAATATACAGTTTGCTTTTTTATCTGCCATGATAGAGCAAGAAAATGTCTCTAGGTATCTACCTGGGCAGAAAAGATAGCCTGCTATAAAGTGAACCCCTTAGTACAATTAAAAAAAAAAAAAAAAGCTATCTTCATTTGAAACAAATATATACTTCACAGCATTGTGGGGAGATTAAATGAGGAAAACCCTTAAGAGTTCTTTAAAAAGCACCTGGTATGCAAAAACTGTAAATGTGAGCTATAATGATTATTATTATTTGGAAATTTCAAATTGGGACTTTCCCTGGACTGGCTAATAAACTGGTTGGGCTCTAATTAGAGGCAGAGAGGAATGACAAAATGTGATACTTTCTGTCCTTCTCAGTAGTATTAATGAAGATTTTTAACGGCCTTTCCAAAAATCTCTCCCCTTCATGTTTCCTAAACCGGCAACAAAACAAAAGAAAAAGCCCATTTGGACTAGTAAATCAACTCTCCTTCTCTCACAAAAATACACAGCCTCTCTCTGGGCACATTCCCATATCTAACAATGACTGTACGAGAGGAAAACAGAAGATAACCACAGTAGTGCTTATTATCGGTAGCAGCAGTTTAAGATACCAACTACCATATGATAAAACCCAATGTTTAGTGTGTTGTAGAATTCATTAACCGCTTGATAAACCACTAGCTGCCAGTTTCTAAGGGAGAGCAATACCACTCCAGGGATGAGGGCAAAAAATTTCAGTATTCAGAAGAATGTTTTTTAAAAACAAACTAGACAGAAAAAGTTCAGTTATTATTTTCTGAATAATCTGCATATAATGAACAAACTCAGCTGGGCTTTATACTAAACTTAAAGTACCCAACCTATATAAAAAAACATAAGGGTCATTTCAAATGTAATACTCTAAGCAATCAGTTTGGCACAGAGGGCAAAAGGTACGTCAGTAGTATTCTAATCAGAATATATCTGAATACAGAATGTAGGGGAAAGTATTTAACTTTAGAGCAAAGTAGCTGCACCAAGAAATGTATGGTGATAATATCCAAGTTATTAGGTCTTACAAAGGTATCTTTTACATTTCTGTGTCATCTTTTTTTTTTTTTTTAAATCAAAATAATACAAGTACATAGTTTTTTAAAAAAGTTTATAACAAAAACCAGCAGTTCACTGCCCCAATCCTCCGACCCTGTTTTCTGTACTTTAGAGGCAATTACTGTCAACTCTTCGGCTGTTTCTTATTTTCTTATTAGATACTATCTACTGACTTTCTAATAGGAAGATGCCTCCCCCAACTCCCTCACCACACACAACCTTCTCCCACTATAGTCACGGGAGCATACTCAAATCAGTTTTCAGAGTGTACGTTACTAATATGATATGTAAATATTGTTTTCTGAGTGAATCACATAGTAATTCTATGACTGCATTTCATTTCTTACTCAGGTTCTTAGTTTTTTTTACTCCCAAGTTAATGGTTGCTTCTCTAAGCAATACAATGTTTTTAATACAAAAAATAAGCTTAAATCACAGGTGGAAGGCCAGGTTTCAGTGAGGTGAAACTTAAAAGAATTATCTAACTGATAATGGCATATACGACTAGGGTGTCCTGGCTTGAGAAGTTTGTCCCACATGTCCTAATTTTCTAGATTTTCAGCCTTTAAAAGATAAGTGTCTGCTGATATAGGTGAGATCACAATGCCAGATTTTTCAAGTTCACTGATTCAGGAAGGCAGTTCAAACAGCTGAAGGAGATTTACAGTATTTTCTTGTTTGGAAGGTAGAAAAGTGTTGAAAATCCCTACTTAAATTTTAGCCTGCTCACAGAAAAGATGCCCATCTAAACATATTTCCCTAAGAAATGAGTGAAACAGAAAACCTCTGGTCTACAAACCTTTGCTGTTGTTAGCTGCCATCTGGCTGATTCTGACTCATGGCGACCCCGTGTGCGCAGAGTAGAACTGCTCCATAGGGTTTCGAAGGCTGTGACTTTTCAGAAGCAGATTGCCAGGCTTGTCTTCTGCAGTCCCTCTGGGTGGGTTCAAACCTACAACCTTTTTGGCTAATAGTTGAGCGTTTAACCATCTGTGCCACCAAGGGCCCCTTACAAACCTTTAGTGCATGAGTAAGTCCCACCTAAATTGGTTAATAAACCTGACTTTCACATTTTGACTTCTAAAGCAGGACATATGTGAATCTCTTTTAGGCAGATAGTTTCCAAATTCACGAACTCTGTTTTTCTCAGAACTATCACTGCCAATTTACACCCTGGAAATGCATGGGGCTCCTCTTCCAAGAGTTCTGTCTACAGCTGACTGTTTTCTTCACTTTTTAAAAGACTCACCTAAGACTTTTCCAAAGTACAAGTGCCCTAACTCCTAACTATTGGAAAATTCTGGCAGACTAATTTTTTTTTTCAAATTAAGACATGAATATTTACAATAATTTAAGTTTCTGAGAAAATGTAAATTTTTTCAGAAACGATTACAGTACAAACGACCAGTATTATAACCACCAAGAGCATTTAAAGAGTATCAGAAATAACTCCCCATCTCCAAAATATTTATTTCTCCCAAGAGAGCTACCCCAATAAGATGCACAAAGCACTGTCCCATAATAAGACTAATAGCTTTAAAAAAAAAAAAATTCAAATAAGTAGTTTATGTTGACTCAAGGACTTATTTAATTTAAAGATACATTTAATTCTGCCTTACCTATAATGAATAGTGTTTGGTAAATAAAGAGTGATTTAAATTTTGACATAATGAAGTAAGAGGGCAGACTCAGAAAAATGTTCTGAGTTGATAACATTTAGCATTCTATAATAACATAACACTTTGATGGTACCGATGTGTCAAAAATAAAATTACATAAATATGTTTTGACTGCATAATGTGGGCATTTCATTCTCTTTGCAAACAAATGAAAATCGATAAAAATTAATAAGGTAATTTAGGTTTAGTATTAGAAAGTTCCTGAGACGAGAGGCAATACTTACAACAGAAGGCGGTCAACTCTTGGTCCATCCTGTCTCTGAAGGCTAAGCGGAGGGCTATATACTTTCATTGTTCCAACTCCCCTGTTCTGTGCTTGGATTACTATTCCCCTTTTATAACTTTCATGTAGTAGCAGTGATTTATAAACTATTTATAGATATTAACTAAGCAAGTTCTACGTTGAGACCACAAGGACTGACTCATGTTCCTTAGAATATATTGTTTTCATTACAGTTAGCCGAGGAAGCCAA